GACTCAATCCTCCGTTTCCGCATCCTGAGGACATAACGAAGGAATGAACTCGCAGATACTCCGTAAAACAGCAAGCAGAGGGACCTTCTCTTGAAATGTACTACAATTAGTACATTTACGTGAAGATACACCTCTGTACTGTTCTAAGTCTCCTGTCCATCCAGGGGACAGACATGTGCTTGGGTAAGGGGTTGTACTAGTACAGGCCGTACTAGTACTGCATATCAAAATGCCTTCACCATACGTATGTCTCCATAGAATAAGAAATTTAGGGAAAAAATTAAGAAAATACTAACGCCAATATTGGCCCGATGTTTTCCCACGTAGTAATCCCAATAATGGGCGAAGATAGATGCCAATACCGGACCAATATGTATATTCCTTGGCAGTCGATATTGATCCAATATTGGGGTGCTACTGGGGATACTTCCCTTGTTCTAATTCTCCTTTCGGATAGAGTAATACTCTTTTTTTTTAAATGAAGAATTGGAGCTATGGGGGGACAGGCCCCTTTCCCTGATGGTGGGTACACCAAAGGTCCCGCCAGTCCCAGTGAAACCCTCCTGCGAGCAGGCTGGCAGATGCAAGGCCCCCTCGATGCTGATATAGACAATGGGAATAACCCCCATTGCCCTGGTCGGAGACCGAGGTTTCTCCTGTCTGTTTTACTGATTACTCATTAGTTAGGACAGTTGCAATAGCAGCCTAGAAAACGATTAGACCTATTCATGGACCTTTAAAGAATGAAGACAGGTTGGGGCTATTTTAGACCCACTTTTAAAGATGATTAATTCCTATCTATTTATAAAGGTTTTATATAAGTTGTAGGTACCTATCAGTTGCCCCGAGAGCTACTTGGGATTAACCGGTGCCAACTGTTAAGAAAACATTATCAGGCTCCCTGTTTGTCGATAGATAGAGAGGATAATTGTTAATAACGCTGATCAGCTGAAAAGAGAGATCCTTTGATTAATGCTGAGGTGCCTTAATTGCTTGGGGATAGAAGCGATTAGGATAGTTTTGGCTGCAAAGATGTAACGGGTGGATGAAATCCAAACGCCCTTGATGGGGTATCTATACTGCTGAATGAGTTGAGGAGTGAAGGATTGGGAATGGCTTTAAAAGCGGCCGGGGGGACAAAGAATGGTCAAGAGGGAGGTGAGGGTTGGGGGTGTATGGCTGAATAGTTGAATCACTGGAGAGATCACAAATTGTATTAGAGATATAATCATCCCAACTGGTAATACAACGGCGGATTGGATATCCAGCTCTGAACGCTCGTCGTCGTCCTTGGTGCTTTGTGTTGAACGTTGTCAATTATTTAGGCACGCCCTCAGGGCAAGTGCCCTTCTCATAGATAAAGAGCGCTAGTTCTGAGGCATACATGTCAAGTTCATAACCGTTGACACTCGAGAGCAGCCTCAGACAATTCAATTTACGAATTGCCTTTTGGCGTCGCATCTGCACGTGGGGGGACCAACGGAGGTATTCGTGAAAAGTGATTCTTAGAGATTTGCAAGTGGAAGCAGAGGGGATGCGGTTCCCATTCATCCAAAGCCTAAAGTTGTAAGAGTCTCTGGATAGGCTTCTAGGCACATAAAGGTAAAAGGACTTGGACGGATTCATGGAAATCCTCCAATCCTTACAGTAGGATGAAAGAGCATCGAGGAAATGTTGAGCATCTTTTTCCAGCTTAACTTCATTTCTTCTGGTGAGCCATGTGGCTGTATCATCTGCATACTGGCTGACATGCATATGACGGTATGTGTCGAGGTAAGTCGTTGACAAACGCAAGAAAAAGCAGCGGTTCCAAGACTGATCCTTGTGGTACTCCAGCTGTTGCGGTGTAAGAGCTAGACAGCTGGTTGTTTACTTGAACCTGGAATGTACGACCTGTTAGATAGGATCGTATCCACCTGAGGACTGGAGCCGGGAGAAAGAGTTGGTGGAGCTTGTAGAGTAGGCCCTGATGCCAAACCTTGCCAAACGCCTTGGTGATGTCGAAAAAGAGGACTAGGAAGTGCATACCTTTGTGAATGGTGTGTAATGCTCTATGTGTCAGCCGTGTTATCTGTTCTACGGTTGACCGTCCTCTGCGAAAACCGGCTTGGGCTGGATTCAAGAGGTACTTGTCCTCTGGGTAGGACGTTATCCTTGTCGTTAGAATCATCTCCAGGAGTTTACCTTTACAGCTCGAAAGGCTGATAGGTCGAAATGAAGATGGGTCTGAGGTATCCTTTCCTGGTTTCGGAATCATTGATACGATTGCCTATTTCCAGAAAGGTGGGACATGGGAGAGATCTGGGCTTGCGTTGTATAAATCGCACAGTCAGGCAATTAATTTGGTCGAGCTGTGCGTCAGAGGACAAGAAAAAACTTTATCGATCCCTGGGGATCCCTGGGGTTAGCCATAAGTTGAAGAGTGCTGTAGATCTCTTTAGGGTCTATAGGACGCCATATGTGATCGATGTCTGGATAGGAAAGGGCGTCGTCGGGAGAGAAAGCAACGATCTCATCTTGCCGAGAGAGATCGGCCTAGGGACAGAATTGAATGTGAAGGTGGGAAGGTATAGTCATGGCAGAAGCTGGTGATTCGCCAAAGACTTCCGCTTTGCCCTCATCAGTGATGACAACTCTTGTTCCAATCTTCAATGGTTTCGTGGTAGCTGATGAGGGTTTGTTGACACTATGGAAGAGTTTCCAAAAGTCTTTGGGATCTGTTTCCTGATTTAAATTGGAGCAGTAAGTATCCCAGTAAGTTTCCTGATCAAGGGCAAGTAACTCCTTGATTTCTATGTTTAGGTTCCCTATGATGGGCCTGAGTTCGGGGTGAACGTAATGGTGGAAGATACGGTGAAGACGTCGGCGTTCACTAATCTTTTTCAGTGTCGCAGTAGAGATGGAGTAAGGACGTCCAAGGCGACGGACGAACTTGGGGACGGCGAGGTCTTATGCGATGGAAACCGCTTCTGATACGATGGTTGCAGAGTCGTCCAGGAGTGAAGGAGCTCCTAGGGCCAGCGTGTCTGGGAGGAGCGAATCTAAGATTGCGCGAAATTCCACCCAGTTCGCATTTTTAAAGTCGTATACCTCCCTGACAAAGTTGGAACGAGTGGGGGCACAGAGTCGAGCGTGATATGGATTGGGAGGTGATCGCTTCTCCCACCAGACTAAAAGAGGGGGAGAGGTCGAGCAAAGCGAGGTTCCCAATTGCGAGATCCAGTCTGGATGAAGCTCCCATACGATCATTGTGATAGGTATCGGAGTTGTCATTCAGAATCTGGAAGCCTGAATTGTGGAGGAAGTCACTAATGCTTCCCTTCTTTGGTTTGTGTTATTAGGTGGATTTCCGAGATCTGGATGGTGGGCGTTTAGATCTCCAATGAGCAGGGTGGGACAGTGGAGATTAATGATCAAATCCAGGTCTTCTAAGGAGGGAGTTGAGTCATAGTGGTAGGGTGGAAAGTAAGAATGCACGATGTTAATGTGCCTTTGTGGGAATCTGACCCATGCAGCTATGACTTCGATGCCATTATTCCACATGTGATCTATGAGCGTGGAATCCAGAGAGGAGTGGACATAAACAGCAGAGCCTCCCTGATATGATCTTGGAAAAGTTGGCTTATGGCAGTAAAAGTCGCGTATACAAGGTGCAGATTTCTTTTTCAACTCATTGAGGCATATGACTAAATTTGTTAATTCGTCAATATAATGAAGGATCTCCGCTCTTTTATGATTGAATCCTTGCACTTTAGCATGCAGAATTAATGACAAGCCGTCTATTGAGTGAGAAGTGGAGTAAGAGCGAGGAGAGGGGTAAGAGCCGTCACAAGGTCATTGACCTGTTTTTGCAAGGAAGAGAATTTCTGGAGAGGCGTGTGATGTCAACAGGTTGGTGAGTTGACTGGTCTATGGGTGAGGGCGTGTCATTGCTCGTGACTGGCTGCGCGCAGGAAGGGGAATCGATGTGCTCCCATGCATGGGACTTGAGGATACCAGAGAGCTGTGGGCGTGGCTCTGAAGCAGCAGGATTTGAAGTGTGCTGCTTTGTAACATGCCTGGGGGCAGGTACTACTGTCCGAGCAAGGGCAGAAGAGGCAGGCTGCTTTCCTGCATGCTGCGCAGTGACTGGGGCAGCTGCAGTTGACAAAGTCCTTGGGCTGACAGGCAGCAGTGGGAAGTTACATTTCGAGGAGGTGTCTGTGTTGACGATCGAGATGGAAGGAGTTCCTTTGCAAGTTTTGTATTGCGGAATTGCTCCTGCTATAAGTTTGCGTTCCAAGGCTGTCCTTCTGTGAGGGCAAGCAGAGGAGTTGGCCTTGTGAGGGCCATTGCAAAAGGCACAATTTGGATTGAGTCCGGCTTTCATCTGCTGACATTCCTTGTAGGAATGTCCAGTCATTCCACAGAATGAGCATTTTGTGGCTTTTGTGCATGTAGAGGCAAGATGACCAAACTGTATACATTTGAAACATTGAATGTTTCTAGGCCTTTGAGAAAAGGCTTCACTCTTGAAAGAGAGAGGGCCAATTTTGAGTGTTCCTCTTTCCAACAAGTCACGGGAGATGTTATCCTCAACCGCCTTTACAAGGAGAAGAGGGTGAGTTTGACCCGTATGAGTTTTCCTCATCCTGATGATGCTTTCCATGAGTGTTATGCCTTCAAGTAGTTCCCTGACATTTTTGTGCCAAGAGAGACATACTTTACGACAAACTTCAAGGGGTTTGCCTTGGTGTGCAGGGCATGGGCAGTGTCCATATTGGATGGCGATTTGTCAATGAGTCTTTCGGCATCTTGTTGGTTAAGAACGTCCAAGACGTATCCCGTTCTTGTTTTTCTTATGTTGGTGATATTTATGCCTTTGAGCACTCCGAGGAGGGTTCTAACAAAGGCTATCAGGATTGCGGAACTTTTCCGGTACCATCTCTATAAAAAAAAAAGGGGGGGTCCGGAAGCGGTCCCGCACTGGTCTCTTGTTCCGTGTAGGATTCTGAGGGGGGATGACATTGGTGTTGAGCCTGCGTCTGGAAGTGACCGTGAAAAGAGCAGGGTCATTGTCCTCGTTGAGCGGGACTTCAATAGACACGCCCTCTCTCGTCGGGGTCGCAGCTGTCTGCGCCGAAGTAACAGGGGAAGGTGTTGTCAAAGCAGTTTGTGGATCAGGTGTTTGGGGTCTTGAGGAATCCACAATATTTATTGATACCTGTGGTGTACACTAAGGGTGATGTCTCCGAGTTAGCTGCTCGAGTTAAAAGAGAGTTTATTGATCTCTCAGGTGTTGGTGTTCTTTTTTTCCTTGAGGGAGGAGGAGGTGTGCTTTGTTGCGCCTTTTGGCGCGGGAACGTGTCCCGATCCCTGGACCCATGAATCAAGGATTGGTTGGAGGGGGGAAATATAGCGTGGGAAAAGAACGAAAGAAACTGAAAGGGAGAAAAAGAGAAGCGAGGAGATCAGCCTTAAAAGCTGTGATTCATTGTGGGATTGGGATAGTTTAAAGAGTAAAAGATCAAAACGTGTCAAAAGAGTCAGACGAAAAGTCAAGCAGAATCAAAAGAGTCGGAAGTAGTGAGATGGAATGATGAGGGGATTAGGGGAATATGATGAGGGAAGGGAAGGAATCTGTATTGAGCGTAATGAGAGAGTATATGAGAGGAAAGCAGGAGAACAAGAGAGGGCGAGTGGAAAGACTAAATTATAGCGTTAGAATATAGAGAAGGAAAGAAGGGCAGAAACGATTTAACTAGGGGCAGAAAGGAGAAGTAATGAAGTCAGACTGAAGAGGTGCGTGAGACTGAAGCGTGGGAAAAAAGGGGGGATGAGAAGAGTTTGTATGGGAAAGAAAGGGGTGAGCGAGTTGAGGGGGAGGGAGGGATCAAGTGTATCGAGAAGAGTTAAATGGAGATGGGAGAAACACAAAGAGTCGCGAGAGTAGGAAAGAAGAATTACTCTAATCTGAGGTACACAGGGAATAGATTCAAGGCTTTCTCAAGGGAAAGCCTTGAAAAAGGCTGTTCTAACTGCCGGGGACAAAGCCTTCGCCAGTTGGGGCATGAGAAGGCAGTGAATACATCCTCGAGTAATACTCAGTTCGTAGAGGTTCTCAGAGGGAATATGAGCTTGGTTATTTCCTGGACTCCATGATACTGTCTCGAATATGCGGATAACAAATGAATTTTCCGGCTTTATTGATTGCTATAATGAGACTAGGCGAGACATATGGCGAGGTACTAAACACTCCAATGAGGGACGATTACAGGGAAAGAGGGAAGGGTACTTATGTGTACTGTGCAAAAAGCGAGACCTATACCTCAATCTAGTGGCCTGAAGAACTTCAGCATTTCCCAAAAAATTCTAAGTGCGGTCGGGCACATTGGATCATCACGTCGGTTCAATATTCGATGAGTAAATAGAGTCCAGGACGGGGTTACAATTCAGACTGCTTGCTCTGCCTCAAAGGGCATCCAGAAAAACCTTTCTACCTCTCCCCTTAGTCAGTGGCCGAGGCCTACTTCCCGAATAAGGACATCCTTTCTACCGCGTCACTGACTAGGAGGAGGTCGTACGAAAATGTACTGCTGTTCGCGAAGAAGCATAACCAATCCACCTCGCAGATAAGGCAGAGCAAGCAAGATACATGCAATTTCTTCACAGAACAACAGTGGAAACCTTATTTTACAATCGTGCAAAATATTTGTTAGTTTCTTGTTGCATCCGGAAGTCATTCTAAAAGTCGAGAGATTGCTTTACGACAAATCATGTAACCTATTGATTTTTCAGAGGCACCCGAATGCAAAAGGACTCAACAGGGAGCAGAGTATTTGGGAACACAAAATAAGGCCATTTCTGGCTCCCCGTGTCTCGCGTGGCTTCGTCAGGAGAGCGTGTCCCCAGAAGATACGTTTGCAATAGTAGGACAGGGATTCCCCGATACCATCACGGATAAGCACAACTACTGCCGGAATCCAATTGCAAAACCGGGCGGTTCTTGGTGCAATGTTCAAGGTCCCACAGGATCTAAGGAGAATTGGGAGTATTGCGATGTGCGTTTTTGTGCCGTAGAAGATGCGAGGAAGACTTGCGAGACGGAGGATCGATGCGCGTCGAGTGAGTGACGGGATTTAAAGAACTAACCTTCGCTTGGCCTCAGGAATGGCATACCAAGTAATGGTAACGATTTTCCTCATGAACGACCAATTACGTTGCATCGGTCCCTAAAGTACTAATATGAGTACAGCTTTGATACGTTGACTTGGCGCTTTTAAACTTTCAGACGAGCTTTCAGTGTTCGATTATAGTTCCTTTAACAGTTTGACCGCCATGGCCATATTGACCTCTTGACTTTCCTACGCCAAAGTAATTTTTATATCCCTAGGAGACTCCTTAACAACATACTTTGATCATCCCATGCTCTTTGCAATTTTAATTGGTCTTTTGCAGACTTTTTAATGAGGCGCATCGGTGTGCCTCATGGCGTGGGGAATGCAATTAGGTTTACCACGCCCACAAGGCAAACCGGTGGTCCTCACAAACTTTAACACATCATGCTGCCATTCTATAAGTTAATCTCGTTTGAATGGTATTTCGTGCGCGCGGCGCCTCTGACGATGCCTGTTTGCCAGTTGTCTGTGACGTCACGCGATGAAGAACTTCCCGGATTGTACACTGTCTCAAGAAAGTGTGGAACCTTATTCACCATTTAGACACTCGTAATTGGTTCAGGCTATCGTTGTGCGCCTATGTGGGATGACGAATGCATCAAATGAGCACATGCGAGCAAAGTTATAACAAATTAATATCCATTCGCTGGTTCTTGAAATACAGAAGGTTATTCAGAGCGTACCAGCAGTAAGGGAGTGCCGCCATAACTGTACGGGTGATTATTCCAAATTCAGTATTGTGCCTCAAACAGGATGGGATGCGCGCGACCAAGATAACTGCATTATTTCAATTTATAATTAGTGTAATTAATAATTACTTTACTGTAATCTTTCCTGTTTGACACTCGGATGAGGTTGAGGTGCTCGAAGTGCCCCCCGTGTCATCTTGTGAACAGGCACACTCAGAGAAATCGGTGAATCGAGACGATATACTTCTCTCAATTTTCGCATTTCGATTTATTTTTCTCAAGAGAAAAAGACATCAGCTGGATTTTCGATTTATATCTCTCGCTTCCCGACCGTGCCGGGTCGCCTGAAAGGCGTTCGCAAAACCAAAATGCGTCTATAGCCGAGTCGAGAGGGTGGTTTGAGTTGCCTTGCATCGTCTAGACGCATGTTAACCTCCGTATTCCACTTCGTGCCGAGGAAGCCTCCCCCCCCCCC